GGGGGGGAACCTGGGGGGTGCGGCAGTCTCCTGCCCGTGTCCCCGCCGGCTTCCGCATCTGCTAGGCAGCCCCCGTTGCGTCTGGCTGTCTCTTCCCCCACTTGCGTCTTTCTGCCCCCCTTTGTTCTCGCCACCGTGCGCTCCCGCAGCCTCCCCCGCCCCCCTGGTATTTAAATCACCTCCAGGCTGGGGAGCCCTCCCCCCGTGGGCCTCCAGGGACACGCAGTGTCCATCCCCAGCGGAGGGGCCCTGATGGGGGAGGGGCGGGAGGGGGAGGGTCTCCTTTGTCTGAGCGGTGGCGGCGGCTGCCTGCTCGGGGGAGAGGGAGGAGGGGGTGCTCGACCCGGCAGAGACCTAAAGGCTGAGCTCTGTGGCGCCCACAAAGACTAGTCCAGGGCCAGAGCTGGTGAATTACTGGCAGGAGTCGGCCCCGGGTGGCAGGGAAGATGGCAAAGGGCACACTGGGACCCGGACTATGTGAAAGTAACCTGGCTGAGGTGCAAAGGGGGTGCCCCGGTCCAGACTTGGAGTCGTTGGGAAAAGAGGTCTGAGCCAGCAGGCTGGGGCTCGCGGGCCAGACCCTTAACAGCGCCTGCCCCTAGGCTCGGGGCAGCAGCTCTGGGAAGCCAGGAAGGGGTGGGAAGAACTTCTGTCTCTCCCCACAAGCTCTGAGGGCTCCACTTCCGCGTCCCTGCCTTGTCTCGCCTAGCCTCACCTCTTCCTTCCTCCCCCCCAGCCGGCTCAGTTCGGGGAAGCTGCAGGAGTTCGGAGTGGGGGATGGCAGCAAGCTGACGCTGGTGCCCACCGTGGAGGCGGGCCTCATGGTAAATGGCTGTGGGGCAGCGTGCCCAAGCCCCGGACAGTCAGACAGCCTCCTCCCATGCAAGCACAGCCCCATCACACCCCTCAGGCCACCTTCCCCGGCTAGGGCAGCCCCCCCAGCCAGCACAGCCTTCCCAACCCCCACGCCTGGGCTGCGGGCCGGAGCCCACACTCAGGTCTCCCCTCTCTTTGTAGTCCCAGGCCTCCAGGCCAGAACAGTCTGTGATGCAGGCCCTCGAGAGCTTGACCGAGACCCAGGTAAGACCTGCGCCGGCCCTCCTGACCCGTGGGGCAGCTGGCCCCCAGGCCCTGCACTCTGGGCTGCCAGCGGGGTTGTTTGTTCTCCCACAAAGCCTGTGGAGAAGGGGATGCGACTGGATGCACAGCCCTGCCTCAGTGCCAGCCGGCCTGGCCACGGCTCTTCCTCCCTCCCCCCCATTCACCACCTGACCTTGAAGGCCTACTCTCCCACGGTGGCCTCCGTGGGGGAGGGGGCTGAGCTTTCACAAGCCAGCCTGCCTGTGGGGTGACCTTGGCCCACATTCCTGCACTGGGGCCTAGGTCCCCAGCCCCACACACTCCACCGCAGAGCACCCCGCCCCCTCCCCAGCCATTTTGGTTTCCCCAAAACGACCTTTTAAATTTCTGCTGGGGAGGAGGGGCCGGCCTGGGTGACACTCTTCCGCCTTCCATGACCCCGCGGTGAGGGGTGGGGAGTCACCCCTCCCCCTCCTCCCTCTGGCCTTTGTTCTCTGCCCCAAACGCGGGAGGGGGTGGGATTGCCCAGCCCCAGGGCCAGCTCAGACTAGAGAGAGGATGTCAGGGGAGCCTAGTAGCCAGCCTGGGGGCCGAGGCGGGGGCTGGCCCACACGGCTCCAGGCTTCTTGCGCCCTTTGTTGTTGTTGTTGTTGTTGTTGTGTTTTTTCTTCTTGGTTCCCCCTCCTTTCCTCATTTTTCTGCTAGGGGGGTGGGGGGACTTCTCCCAGGAGGGTGACACAGGCCTCAACAATCCGCCTGCTGCCAGGGTGGGGGAAGCAGGCTGCTGCCCGCCCGCCCTGGCGACGGGGTGGGCAGGTTCCCGGCCTCCCCAGCTGGCCGCAGGAAACCTGCTCAGCCGCTTCCCTCCCTCCTGCCCGAGGCCTTCGCCCCCTCCTCGACATGTAGCATCCTGCCTTCACCAGCCTGCTAGCTGGGAGGAGGAGGAGGAGGAGGAGGGGGCCAGGAACTGGGTGGTCTGCTGGCAGGAGGGGGCTGCCGGCAGGGAAGCTGGAGTTGGAGGAGGGCCCTGGGCCTGGGGAGGGCCGCACATGATTTCCTGGGGCAGATGTGAACCGTGCTCCCTGCTCCTGAGGGTGCTGGGATGGGGGGGCAGGGCGGGTTTGGTTCACATCCGCCCCGGGGTGCCTGCGTCAGGAGGGGGGGGCGCTGGGCGGATGACTGGGCTCCCAGGGCTGTTTCCCCGCCTGGCACCAAGTCATGCCCGCCGCCCGTTCTCTCCCCAGGGAGGAAGTTGCAGAAGGGGGGCAGGGGGGACACCCCAGCTGCTCTTGGGAAACCACCCCAGGCCCTTCCTGCAAGGGGCATCATCGGGCTGGGGGAGGGGCACTCAACCCTGCCCACCTCCCTTGCCTCCGCCCCACGGCCCCCAAAGTAGAGAAGGTTACGCCAGCCGCTGCCAGGGGAGAGCTGGGAGGCGGTCTGAGTCATCCTGGCCTGTGTCACTTCTCAGAAACCTCCACCACCACCACCCCCTATCCCAGCCCCTGGGGAGAGCCCTGCAATGGCCGGCCCCCCAGGAGAGGGGGCCCGGCACAGAAGACAGGCAGGCGCCCTGCGCCCCAAGCAGGGGAGCCAGATGTGAGAGTTCATGTCTGTGTGAACTGTGCCGAGGCTGCTAGGGCCCCGGGCCCCAGGGAGCCAGCGAGGGCCTCCTCCTGCAGCTTGGGGGCCATGCCTCCCCCAGCCTCTGCCCTGCCCCGGACAGATAAATATTTATCTTGAGAAAGCAAAGGTTAGGATGAAGAATTTGTGCAGGAATTCCACCCACTTGCTGGCTGCCAGGCAGCCACACTGGGCGGGGGGTGGGGAGGGGGGGCGAGGCCCTCCCATATTCCCAGACACAGAGGATTCGGGTTCCCCAGAGGGAGGGGAAAGGTGAGGCACCTAGTGAGGGTTACTTGAGGGCAGTGACTGCGGGCTGGGCCCTGCCCCCTCTGGCCTCAGTTTCTCCTGGGAAGAACCAAGCTGGCCAGGGAGGGCCAGGCCCCCATCTGACCCGCCTCTGTCCCCCACAGCCCCCAGCGGCGCCCGGGCCGGGCCGGGCTGGCGGAGGCGGCTTCCGGAAATACCGATTCATTTTATTTAAGCATCCGTGGCACCGACAGGGACCCCAGAGCCCAGAGAGGGGCGGCGAGAGGCCCCAGGTCACACAGCGCGGGGGGGCTGGGCAGGGCCGGGTTGGGGACACTGCAGGCTGGGGCCCTGGGGCTGACAAGCCGCTCTCTGCAGGTTAGTGACTTCTTGTCCGGCCGTTCACCACTGACCCTGGCCTTGCGTGTCGGGGACCACATGATGTTCGTCCAGCTGCAGCTCGCCGCCCAGCATGCCCCACTACAGCACCGCCACGTGCTGGCTGCTGCTGCTGCTGCAGCCACGGCCACCCGTGGAGACCCCAGCATCGCCACCCCCGTGTCCTCCCCGTGCCGGCCACTGTCCAGCACTGCTCGAGTCCCCCCGGTGCCCACCAGCCCTGCCTCTGCGTCCCCTTCGCCTGTCACCGCCGGCTCCTTCCGGTCTCATTCAGCTCCCACCACCTGCCATGAGGTGAGTCCACAGAGGTGCTTGGGGGGGGGCCTGGGCCCAGGACCATCTCCAAGTTTTCGTGCCCCTCTCCCGTCAGCAGATGGACTGTTCCCCACCTGCCAGCACCAGTGCCAGCCCCACATCCACCCCAGGGGGCAGCCCTGCTTCCCGATCCCGAAAACCCGGCGCTGTCATTGAGAGCTTCGTGAACCACGCCCCAGGGGTCTTCTCAGGGACTTTCTCCGGTAAGTGTGCCTCCCTGGGCGAGCGTGCGTGCGCACAGGCCGGGGTGGGGGCCCCACCCATCCTAGTCTGGGGTCTTGCATACACACGTGCAGCACAGGGCGGCCGTGTGCGAGGGTGTGAGTGGCCGTGTCATGGGGCCTCGTGTTGAGTGGCACCCTGCTGCCCCCCACAGGCACGCTGCACCCCAACTGCCAGGACAGTAGTGGACGGCCACGTCGGGACATTGGCACCATCCTGCAGATCCTCAACGACCTCCTGAGCGCCACCAGGCACTACCAGGGCATGCCCCCATCCCTGACCCAGCTGCGCTGCCACGCCCAGTGTGCGCCCGCCTCGCCTGCCCCAGATCTCTCCCCCAAAACTACCTCCTGCGAGAAGCTGGTAGCCACCACCCCGGCGTCACTGAGCCAGGTCCGCATGTGCAAGCCCCCCCTGGGTAAGTGCCCCTGCAACTCACCCGGCCCAGCACTCAAGGCCTCTCTGTGTGCTGCTCAGAGCAGCTGACCTGCGGGGGGGCGGGGGGCCCCAGCTGCTGCTCACCCTGCTCTGTGAGATCCTTGAGAGAAGGGAGCATGTGTGTCGGGGGTACAAAGTATCCTTGTGTCCTCTTGAGGGGGGGTCCATCCTCACTTCCTCTCCCTCCCCCCAGCTCCAGATGGCATTTTGAGCCTCTGAATGCCTGAGTCCGGCTGAGGAGTGGGCTGGGCCTCCCCTCCCTCTGAAGGTTGCCTGTGGCGCTCCCCCCCAGCAGCCAGGGCATTCTGGTAGAGGCAGCATAATCATCACGCTGTTCTGCCCAGCAGGCCCTCAGCCTGGTTCAAAGAGGAAACTGAGGCACAATCCTGAGTGCCTCTCAGTCACAGAAGCGGCCAGAAGGGTCCTGACAATTTATGCAAAAGTCTCTTCCAAGGGCCTCTCGGGCGCGTACTGCCTCCGAGCTCATAGCTCCCTGGAGTAGAAGCACAAATAAGTCGTAATAAACTCTGAGCCCTGGGAGCAGCAGAGAGTCAGTCAGTGCTCTGGACTTGGCCCTGGCTGGAGTGTGTGTCCAGGTGGGCTGAGCTGGGCCTCGCACCTAGGCGGCTTTGGGGGGCAGGGGAGGCGGGCGCCCGCCTCTGCTGGGGAAGGGGCTGCGGGTCATGGCCACCGCCTCCCTTGCAGGGGACCGGCTGCGTCAGACAGAGAACAGAGCCACCCGGTGCAAGGTGGAGCGCCTGCAGCTGCTGCTCCAGCAGAAGAGACTCCGCAGGAAGGCCCGGCGCGACGCCCGCGGCCCCTACCACTGGGCGCCCAGCCGCAAGGCGGGCCGCAGTGACAGCAATGGCGGAGGGGGGGGCGGGGGCCCCGGCGAGGCAGCAGGCCTGGGCCTCGACTTCGAGGACTCCGTCTGGAAGCCGGAAGTCAACCCCGACATCAAGTCTGAGTTCGTGGTGGCCTAGGAGCCGCGGTCCTCACTCCGGCCAGGGTGGCCGCCGGCTCGCCCCCGTGTGGGAGAGCGGCCGCCTCACGCTGGGGAACCCCTTCCCCAGCCTGCCTTTTTTTTTTTTTTTTTTTTTAATTTCAATTCTCACCATGGTTTTCCAGACTCTCGGTGGACTTGGGCGCCTGCCTCCTTCCTCAGCTCAGTTACTGGCCTCTTCCTCCCCGGCCTGGTTCCTTTCCCTCCATCCATCCCTCAGTCTCTGAGCTGGGTCCTTCCCACCCACTTCCCAAGCTCCAAATATGTAGCAGTCTTCGCAGATGGTTGTGCGCAGAGCCGAGGAAACCGCCCCCCACTCCCCTCTGCCTCCCTTCCCACCCTCTTCAGGTTTAAGTCAAAAATGTAGATCCACATGATGCACTTTACAGCCGAGGGGGCCTCGGAGAGATCTGTGCACCCCAGGCCGCAGGACCCGCCCCAGCGACACGGACCACGGTGGCCCCCACAGGGGACAGCTGGGCCTTCCACCTCTGTCCTTTTTCTTCTCCTCTTGGTCTTTTTTCCGTTTTCCTTTTTTTCTGGAAAAGCAAAGCCGTTTCAAGGGAGAGGCTGGCACCACCTGCCTTGGGATTTGGCCGGGTTGGCGGGAGGGAGGGTCCCACCTCCGGCCTTTGCCCACCACACACTGTGTGATTTCCTCCGATGCCACCTCCTGCCCCGCCCCGCCCCTTTTTTTCTGAGTTTGGAATATTTATAGACTATTAATTTCTGACTGAGCCAATAGTTGGTTGGGAATCTCTTGAGAAAAAGTCGGGGGTGGGGGAAGAACCCCCCCCCCACCATCCTTCCTGGCCCAACCTGAGGGATCTGGGACCTTGGACTATGTCTGGAGGGGGGGGGGGGCCCTCTGGCAGCCACATTGGGGAGGGGGGTGCTGAGCTGTGAATCCCCCAGCAGGGGCAAAGCTGTGTAGCATTAACCCCCTTGCAGGGGAACGCTGCTGGTCTAATTTGGACCCTCCCCACTCATTCCCAAGGGGGCCACTGGCAGCCCCCCCGGGCCATTTCAATAGGGTGGAGTGGTTTTCCTTTCCTTTTTTTACTGATAATGGAGATGTTTGGGCCCTGCCCTACCCGCCTGTCAGTCTCGTCCTGGTCCCCCCACCTACCTGCCCCACTCCCTCGTTTGCCGCTAGGTGAGCCGTCCTCACGCTTCCCTTATGTGTTCAAGTTAATGGTTTCAGATGTGAACATCACGTGTTAACTGTAGCTCTGTAAATTTTTTTGGGGGGGTGGGCAGGGAGGGAAGGTCAGGGTAGGGAGTCAAGGATTTGTTTGTTTTCTTTTATTTGTTTTTATTTTCCAAAAAAGAAAAAAGGGGTGGGTTTGTTTTTGAAGAACTGTCTTGGATACCTATTTAAATGTGTGTTCTGTTTTGTTTTTTTAACAATTTTTAAAATAACGTTTGTGCCTCCCTGGGTCTGAGGGTGGAGGCCCCAGGCAGGAACCAGCCCACCCCCTCTGCCTTTGCCAGGGCCCCCCAAGAATGCATTACCCGCCCCTGGGGGTGGGGTTGGGCTGTGGGATATCCCCACAGTGCTGAGTTTCCTGTACGAAAACATAAAATTGGAAAAGAAAAAACAGTGATTTCAAGTAATAAACAGAAAATGAAACTACCGAGTGGTGTATGGTGAAGGGAAGGGGTCCTGGGAGTGAGTGCCACATCTGGTGACCTACAGGGTGTCCTCAGGCCTGGGATGGTATGCGTTGGGGGGCAGGTGCCGTCAGGTGTGTTAACTGGCCCACTGTCTTGGGGCCTGGAAGTGGGTCCCAGAGGGAAGGGGCACATATGGGAGTCTTCACACTCCCTCACAGCTTGGGGGTGAGGGTGAACAGGAAGTTGCCTGGAGGGGGCGGAAGGGCTCTAGGCCAGCCACTTCCCGGTACCCAGGCCGGAAGTCCTGCAGGGTGTGGACAGGGGCTGCCCGCCTGCTGTGTGCCTTGGGTGGGGCCTCAGTCTTTGTTCCCAATCCTATAAAGGGGGCTGAGGATGAGCCCTGACCCACCCAAGCTCCCATGAATCACCTGCTTCCAGAAACCCCATTGCTACTCAAGTCCAGAGTCAAACCAGGGAACCTGGGGCTAGTGTTCAAGGTCTCCTGGCATGGCCTGACCAGGCCTGGGTGACATCTGGCCCTGTGTTCCAGCGGCGCCCAGCCCTAACCTTCAAGCCTCCAGGCTTTTGTCTGGTCATGCCCTACCGGGGCACACCTCTCACCTGGCAGCCTGGCAACTCCCTCAGTTTGTATCTTCTCCCCCTCTGCTGTGTGTATCTGGGACTCCCCCGGGGCCTGACCCACAAAGAGACTCCTGGGGTCTCATTGCTCTGGGGCTGCACGCAGGAAGGACAATCATACCAATTTTTATATATATAATTCCTGACTTAAGTACTGCTGTTTGAGAGAACTGTATTTCCATTGGAGGTGAGGAAACTGAGGCCCAGAGAAATATCACTAGACCCTTAGAAAATTGTGACGGGAAGTTACTAAACTAATGACACTCGAGGTCCTCCCCCAAGCCCTGGTCAGTCTCCTCCTCCTCTCTCCAGCCCTGAACCTCCCAAATTCCAGCTCCAGAAACCCTAGGAGCCAGGGAAACAGGTATCAATCCTGGAGTGGCCTCAAGTCCTCTTGTGGAGGCCCTTCTGCCCTCCCACTGCTCAGTCACCCCCAAGTCACCCTCGCCCACGGCAGGAAGGTAGGAGGCCCAGGTCAGGCTGATCCCTCCAGACAATGTTCAAAGACACAAATGTCCCCTCCATGGAGATGTGTGGGTGGCACAGCTCAGGTCCGTCCCTCCCTCCCCCAGCCACGCCCCTGGAGGTCAGGGCTGAGCTGTGAGTTGTGACCCAGGTGACCGCCACTGGGCTGGGTGCAGGATGCAGAAGGAAGGAGTCACAGAGGCACCTGCTGAATCACAGGAGCTATGGGAAGCGAGAATTCAATCACTGAACCACCAACGCAATCACAGGCGCTATGTCTGCATTCTGCAGGGCAGGGGACACTTGCCCTGCTGCCCGGAACCCACCTCGAAGGTCGCTTCCCTGGCACCCAGTCCTGGGGGGGGCGGGCGGGTTGCCCGTCATTGCCCTCAGGCCCTGCACAGGCCTGCAGGGCACCCACCCACCAGGCAGCTGCCGGGTCACGAGGGTGCAGCGGCCCTCAGGAGGCAAGCCTGACCACGAGCCAATGGGAGGCACAGGAAGGTAAACTGAGGCTGGGAGCAGAGAGGCTGTCGGGACTCCAGGGGGCGGGGTCAGCCCTACGCCGGCCATCCCCTTCCCCCATTGAGGAAAAAGCTGAATGGGTGGGGGCGACCTCCGGAAACCCGCTGGGATGGAAACGCGGTTTCCAGGACAACGCGCCGCGAAACGGGCCTGACGTCATCGAGGGCGGGCGCCCCACCCGCCCCCATTCGCGCGTCGGGACGCCTAGGCCCCGCCCACCTCTCGGAAGCCTCATTGGTGGCCGCGCCGCTCGCTCGTCGGCAGCTACCAATAGGCGCGCGGCTGCCCGCCGGAGCCGGCTGCGGCGTGACCCGGCAGAATGCGCAGGCGCCGCGCGGAGGCGTGCGGCTCCCCCCTCTGGCCGCGCGTCCGCAAACTTGGGGGCGGGAGACGCTCCGAGGCAGCACCCGGACGGAAGAGGGGGCGTACCGGGGGCGCCGCACGTGGACCACCCCCCGCCGCGTTCACGTGCACCCTTCTTTCCGCGCCCGGGCAGTGCCCGCTGCCCACTGCCGCCACGACCCCGCAGTGCCCAGCCATCTCCTGGGCCGGAGGCGGACGTTTGGGCTGAGGTTTTGCCAAAGGAGTACAAGCTTGCCAGGTGGAGGGAGAGGGGCCTAGGTGGGAGGCGCGAGGTGCGCAAGGACCAGGAGAGCAGAAGGCGGTGACCCCACGTCTGTAGCTTGGGCAAGAGCTGGTGGCTTCAAGCTGGAAAGGCTTGAGGGAGAGGCCGGAGGTAGCCAGCCGAGCACCGCCCGAAGGCGACTGGTTCACTGCCTGCGGCTGCGAAGGGGGCTGGGAGCCTGTGTAGGCAGGCACCTGGCACCTGAGAGCTGCGGGCCCCACACAGATGGCTTGGGGTGGAAGGAAGCCCGCAGCTGGCCTGGGCATGGCCCAGTTTGCTTGTCCACTCCCAAGGCAACAGTCAGCGAGCACAGTGGTGGGCTTCCCCGGTGCAGAGATGTAAGCAAAACTGCTTCTCAGGGTAGCTGGGCAGCAGTGCAAGGCTGAGAGACAGAGCGGGGCTTTCAGGTAGACTGATGGGGCTGCTGTGGAGGGAGGCCCAGGTCCAGGTGGTGACTCGCGGATGTGCAGCCTTCTCTTTACCCCAGGCCATCGCGGCCACAGCTTTCAGCTAGAGGCCCAGGAACCCTGGGATGGCCAAATGGGTAATGGGCTGGTGCCAAAAAGCATGGGCATAAGTGGCTTGGGATGCACAGCAGGAAGGAGCCACGCTGGGGTGCCGGGGGCGCAGGTTCGACCAGCAGGCCCAGGGGAGCTGGAGCCTTGGGAAGGGCATCACCAGGCCTCAGCCAAGAGCAGCGGGGCACAAGCCAGAAGTCTGACCCCCCCCCCCCCGGGGCTGTGCAGCCCTGGCTGGCTGGCAGGGCAGCCTCAGATAGCGCTCAGGACAGGTGAGGCCCGTCCTGGACACTGCCCACTGCCGGCCCTCTGTCGCTTGCGGGTCGGCTATTTCTGCCTTTTCCTCTCCGCCTCGCCCCTGCGATGTCTGGGCGGCTCCCATTCCCATTGTTTTGCCTAGTCTCTTCAAGTTTCTGGCTGGGGTGCTCTCTATTTTTGGTCATCTCTGTCCCACTGGGCTCCTCCTCCTGGGCACCCCCCCCAATTTCCGCCCCCTCTCTGGAGGCCCCCTCCCTCACCTCCGGAGCACATTCCAGCCGCCACCCCCGCAGAGCATCCCCTCCCCCTCCCGGGAGCCAGCTGCTGTACTGGGTGCTGCGGGAAGGAGGGAGTGGGCTCTGGCCAGGGTCAGAGGTTGAGCTGCAGGCGGAGGCTGGGGAGGGCACCCCTTAACTCCTCTGGAATGTAGGCAAGCCAGCCCCTGGAGGGGAGGTGGTCACCGCAGGCAGGCGAGCTGGGGGCCAAAGACAGCTGGCTGCAACCGCCTCTCAAACACCCAGGAGGCTGCCCACAGGCCTCCCAGAGAATAAACACAGCCCAGACTCCCACACAGGGCCCCCAGCCATCACACACCAGCCTGGCACCCTGCCCCAACACACACCCAGCACACCCCCAACAGTCAAGGCCTAGACACTGAGCTCATAGAGCCCCAGCCCCAGCACATGACACCCACACCACCCCCAAACCAGCCACAACCTGCAGCTTGGTTCCCCCACAACCCTCATCAACTGTGACCCTCAAATGGAAGGGCAGCCCCTTCTCACCCTGAGCCCAGACCACGCAGAACGCTGAAGTTCTGAAAGTCACACCCGACAGGCAGAACTCACTCAGACACTGTGCCCACCCGAGGCAGCACCTCCCCCGGACACACCCACAGCTCCCGCCACAAATGGTGCCCGCGGGTCCTGGTGGCGGCTCTCCCACCCACTGAGAGCCCGCCTGGCTGGGGGAGGGCTGTGTGCTCACTCCGCCATCACTGTGGGAAGTCAGCATGACAGACAGTTCTCTGTGTGGCCTGTCACACCACGAAAACAACCATCAGACTCCTCCCTGGAGCTGGCTTGTCACTGACCCCAGGAAGTACTGTAGCCACACCCACTTCTGAGATGAGCCACTGAGGCCAGAGAGGGGCCTGGGTGCTGACAACCCAAGCAGCTGGACCCCTGGGCAGCCGCTCCCTCGCTACAGGCACTCTGCTCAAGGGAGGGCTGGTGACCAGGAGCTGGACAGTGTGAGGTCAACACGTGTTCCTGGGCACATGTATCTGCTCAGGTGATTGTGAGTACCTGCAGGTGAGCCCCTGACCTGGGCACGCAGCGCCTCTAGACGTGACCCCAGGAAGGGGGCACTCGACTTTGTGCCATGCCAGTGTTGCTCTGGAGATGCCGCCAGCCCAGGCTGTGATCCTTTGGCCTGCAGTGACCTTACATGCCAGGTCCTGCTGGCATGTGGGGCCAAGGGTGAGTAGACAGGGCATGGGTGGGGTTGGTTCCTCCTGCCCTGGAGCTGTGGACCACAGCCTGTCCCAGCCTTAGAAACCCATGGCTTCTGTCCCCAGCCGCGGGGCTCCCATGGGTGAATGAACAGATGCTGCTGTGCGCTCGGCCTGCTGCTA